GACAGGGGCTCATTCGCGAGCGGCCGAGCACGGGTCCGCACGAGCCGCTTCTCCTGGGCCGCAGCGGAAGCAGGCGCGAAGCAGCCGTCTTTCTGCCGACGATGCGCTCGATCGCCATGCCTTCGTGGGAATCGACGCGAGAAGGTCCAGGCGGCGGAGCCCGATGGGGCTGCGTTGAAAGCTTATTGCTGGCCTGTCGCACCACCATCCTCGCGGCGCAGATTGAGGCTCTCCACCACCCGGCCTGCTTCCTCGTCTCCCTCTTCTCGATCGACCACTAGCCCCTCGTGATAGCTCGCAGATCGTTTCAGGACACCCGGCTGTCTTGGCGCAGCAGGCTCGGTCTCCGTCAGCGAGTGCGTTTGCGGCGAGGCAGCCGCAGGCTCTGACAGCGACGCCATTCGCACAGCAGTGTCGCACACCTCGGACCGATCGGCCGTGGAGGGGTTGATCCTGCGCCTGTGCGTTTGCGTCAAGCAGCACCGGGAGCACATTCCCCTGCCGCTCTGGAACGCCGCCATGCGGCGGCAGAGGCGCTGCCAGTGCTGTTGAAACAATCCCGCATCGCACGGCTCGGCGCCCATACCGCGGAGTACGTGGCGCAGGCTCACCTTGCGGTGCTCCTGCGACGAGTAGAGCGGCACTGCCAGCGTGTCAAAGAGCTTGTATGGCGGTTGCTGCAGCACCTGAGGCGTCTGTTGGAAGAAGTTGCGGAACGGGACGCCGCCACGGCTGGGCTCCTGCTCGGCGACCGGCGCGATGACGATGCGCCTGTCCATCGCCAGGTAGGCGACGAGGATGGCCCAGTAAATCAGGCGGCTTTGCGTCGCGCGCACAAGGTCGCGCCGGAGTTTGTCAGAGAGGAGCCACTGCGCGAAGGCATGGCAGGCGATTGAGGCAGCAACTAACAGGAAGACCGCACACGGCCACAAAGCGCTGATCAGGAGCCGTGCACGCATCGAGCCGATGCACGCGTCCGGATAGGTGAGGCCAAGGAAGTCGAAGCTGATCGCGTCCATAATGTCCATCCAGCGCGTAAAGTCCTCGTGCAAGCGGACGCCGTAGACGGGGCCGAGCGTACCAGCGATCTGGTAGAAGCTGATAAGGACCTTTAGCTTGGGCTGGAACCCCACCCTGACCTCGATGTGGGTGAGACGGTGTGCGGTACGAGCTCCAGCACGGCCAAAAATGGCAACGCGGGTGATGGCGAGGTAGACGAGCGCGCCTGTCGTAGCAACAGCCAACACGATTCCAGCCAGATTGAAAAGTCGCATGCTCGCCACCGGGCAGTCAACACAGCCCCGCTGCGCACGATCAAAGTAAGCTGACTGGCTCTTGCACCACTCGCAGCGCGGGCCCGTGTGGCCCGCGTTGCACGACTCTCTCGCTGCCGCATCGCCCACGGTACGGTCGTCAGAGCCAGAAGCGGCGAGGCGGAAGCGCGAGACCTCGGCGACATGGCCTGAACCGCTGCAGTGGTCGGAGGCGACGCACTTGTGGAGCTCGGTGGTCAGGTTTGAGGCGCGCCAGAAGCCGGGCGGGACGCCGAGCGTCTCGAGTGTTGTGCCTCGCGCACTGCAGTCGGCGTGAGGCGGGCAACGCTTGCAATGCCTGGTCGGGTTTTCAAAGATGTCGACCGGGTCGGCGCTCGAGTCAAGCAGGTAATATTCCCTCTTGCAAACAGAGCAAGTGACGCTGCCGCGTCCACTTCCAAGAGGGTGTGGGCACGGCAATGGTGCCGAGACGCCCTCGGTGCAGTAGTGGCCTCCGTCACAGTCGCGGCAGCGAGTCGCACCCGTTCCATCCTGGTACGTACCCGCAGCGCACATTTTGCAGACGCTCTGCTTGGTGGAGGAGGCGAAGGTACCCGGGGCGCACCTTGTCGGCAGCGCGGCGCCTCCAGGGCAGAAGGAACCGCTCGTGCAGGGAAGGCAGTCGGGCAAGCCGTCGCCGTCCGTGGCATTGGGGTATGTGCCCCAGCGGCATCGCCACCAGAGGCACGCCCCGAACCCCGACCGTTTTCAGGCATCTGATATGTGTTTTTGCAAGTTACACAAGTTCGTTACAATTGTAGAGGTGGTAAGGTGCAGGTAAATTTCTCGCCGGCCGTAACTGCTGCAAAAAACAAGTTCGCACAGATTTCGGGTACCCCCAGAGCGTAACGGCGGAGCTAAAGCGGCGGTCCTATTCCGCTAGGGGGGACTTCTTATTCTTCTTCAATCGGACATCGTCGCTACGCGTCGTCGCTGGCCAGGCGTTTGTTTCATAACATCGAAGGCAAGCTCAAAAGAAAAAAGGTAGGCGGAAAAGAAGAAAACACAATCATCGCAATCTGGACGCTTGCTTGCCCACTGTGGCATGCCTGTACATCGACTATGAGCAGAAGGCTGACGGTGCGGGTGCTGACGCAGCTGATCTTGGGTCTGATTTTGCTCGCGAGTCTCGCTAGACTGTGGAGCAGGCTGCCGGAACCGGAACCGCCAACGACGCCACCGAAGTCACGAGTCCCGATCACGAAGCCGCTGGCTATTCGCCGGGTCGTGTCATCGGAGAGCGACTACGTATGGCGCTTCTCGCTCAACTGTACTCGAGTACGCATATTTCCTGCTGGCAAAGGCACTCACCGCACAGCTCCCCTACTCCGTCTCGCGCGTGACCGCGAAGCGCAGCACGCACGTGACAAAGTCGCGCGCCGCGATGCCGTTCGTGCTTCCTGCCGAGTCGAGCTGCTGCCGCTCGTGGATCTCGTAGAGCGAGACGACGAGGAGCGCCGCCCGCGCGCGCGCCGCCGCGGGGAAGAGCGAGTGGCTTGCCGGCGACCACGGCGCCGCCGCCCGCCGGATCAGCGCCGCCGCCTCGCCCTCGCCGCCCGCGGCGCGCTGCAGCGGCGTCGGCTCGCCCTCGTGCAGGCTTGCGCCGCTGCGCAGCAGGGAGAGCGCGCGGGCGGCGGTGAGGCTCTCAAGGTGCGCGAGCGGCGTCCAGCCGCGGCTGGCGACCAGCCAGGCGGCGAGGTCGGCGTGTTCAAAGAGGTTTGCAATCTCCTCGGGCGTGCCGAGGGGCGTTGCAGCTCGGGAGGCGCCGTAGGAGGAGAGGAGCTTGGCGACCTCGAGGTGGCCCTGGTAGCACGCGATGAACAGCGGCGTGACGCCTTGGGTCGTGGCTTGTTCGACCGCCGCGCCGGTCTCGAGGAGCAGCCTAGCGACCTCGAGGTGGCCCTTCTGGCACGCGATGTACAGGGGCGTGGCGCCTTGGGTCTGGGCTTGGTCCTTCGCCGCGCCGGTCTCGAGAAGCAGCTGCACGCACTCGAGGTGGCCGTTCTGGCACGCCACGAACAACGGCGTGACGCCATTCTTCTTGGCTTGGTTGACCGCCGCGCCAGCCTCGAGGAGCAGCTGGGCGCACCCGAGGCGGTTGTTCTGGCACGCAACGAACAGCGGCGTGACGCCATCGTTGCGGGCGTGGCTGACCGCCGCGCCAGCCTCGAGAAGCAGCTGGGCGATCTCGAGGTTGCCCTTCTCGCACGCAATGTACAGCGGTGTGCCGCCGTCCTCACCGGCTTGGTTGACCGCCGCGCCAGCCTCGAGGAGCAGCCGGACAATCTCGAGGTGGCCCTGCTGGCATGCGATGTACAGCGGCGTGGCGCCGTCCTCATCGGCTTGGCCGACCGCCGCGCCAGCCTCGAGGAGCAGCCGGACAATCTCGAGGTGGCCCTGCTGGCATGCGATGTACAGCGGCGTGGCGCCTTGGTTCTGGGCTTGGCCGACCGCCGCGTTGGCCTCGAGAAGCAGCCGGACGATGTCGAGGTGGCCCTTCTCGCACGCGATGTACAGCGGCGTGGCGCCATGCTGCGGGGCTCGATTGATCGCCGCGCCCGCCTCGAGAAGCAGCCGGGCAAGCTCGAGGTGGCCCTTCTCGCACGCCATGTACAGCGGCGTGAAGCCGCCCTCATCGGCTTGGTTGACCGCCGCATTGACCTCGAGGAGCAGCTGAACGCACTCGATGTATTCCTTCTCGCACGCAAGGAGGAGAGCGGAGGCGTCATCCCCGTCAGCCGCCCCAACGTCTGCGCCGGCCTCGAGCAGCAGCCGCACCGCCTCGGCTTGCCCGTGCCGAGCGGCCCAGGTGAGCAGCGTGTCCTGCGTGTCGGTA